ATTAGAGTCCACACTCCTAACCACTACACCAAACTGGCTCTCAACCGACCAGTTTGGTGTAGTGGTTAAGTGTGCGGACTCTAATCTGGGAGAACTGGGGTTGATTCCCCACTCCTCCACTTGCACCTGCTGATGTGACCTTGGGTCAGTCACAAGCTCTGGCACAGCTGTTCCTGAAAAAGAAGTTTGTGTCAGAGTTCTCTCAGCCCTGCCTACCTCACAGGGTGTCTGTTGTGGGGAGGGGAAGGGAAAGGAGTATGTAAGCCGCTCTGAGACTCCAAGTGAAGGGCGGGGTATAAATCCAATCTCCTCCTCCTCCTCCTCCTCCTCCTCCTATTCCTACCATTTGCTACTCAGAGCTATGCTGCTTGTGTGGATGATCCATTTTCCTGGCACGTTTAATAGCTACCAATAGACTTCTCCATCATGAAGTCATGTAACCATGGTTACAGCCCTCTGCTAATGGCAATCACCACATATGACATAAGGGAAGTATTTGCCCCCAGACACCAGAAGGAACATGTGACTCATGAGTTTGAGTTTAACAAGGCCACAGTTTACTGAAAGAACTGTAGCGTAGCCCAACAAACTCTTGTTACAAACAAACTCATGTTACAGAATTACGGGGGAAAGAAGCCAAAGGCTGCCTTTGTCAGGCCACCACAACAAGCTGTCGCAAGTTACTTCAAATGTAGCTTCCTGGTCAATTTGGGCACAGTTTTCTGCATTATGATTCCCCTTGACCCATCACTGGTGGTGGAAGTGTTATCAAATCACAACTGATTTATTATGGCGACCCCATAGGGTTTTCAAGGCAAGAGGCGTTCAGAGGTGATTTGCCATTGCCTGCCTCTGCATAGCAACCCTGGACTTCCTTGGTGGTCTCCCATCCAAGTAAAAATCATTGTAATCATTGTAAAAAGAGACCGATGCTTTAGATGTGGACGGCACCATGATTGTGGCTGGCTGCCATCCACCTGTCAATTTAGCTGTGGAAAGGACCACGTGACACGCACCCCACCTCCTCTCTCAGTAGTTAAGCACCATCTTGTCTAGACCTTGAACATCCTACGCACACACCTGGAGGCCAAAGCCTTGGCAGCCTTGAGATCAACAACAACATAGAGGTAGTAGTAGCTCATAAAAACTCTACGCTGGATCAGTAGAAAAGTAAGGCATATTGCATCCCAGAGGATACCAGCTTCTTTCTCGGGAAGGTCACATGTCTCATCCTCAGGTGGATCTGTGCAGAAGCAAGCAAACAAAAAAAGCACCCTCATGTGCGTGCACTTTCCAAATTTCTAGGACATGCTCATCCAGCATTCTTACAGCAATAAATCTGTCATTAATGTCCATAATCTGGAGGCCATGAATGAACCTTTGATTTTGCAAAGATGGAGAAAAGGAGCACGCGTGAAACTGGAGTTTCATGTCCATTGGCCGTTGCCTTCTGGAAAGCGCTATCAAGTCACAGGCAACTAACAGCAACTCTATAGGGTTTTTAAGGCGAGAGATGTACAGTGCCTAGGTGTGTACCATACACACACAGAGAGACACACATATTTGAATTGGTTCCCTGCTCACAATCTGTGCTCTGCATTTTAATAATAAATTGCATCATAGGGTCCTGTCCTTCAACAACAACAACAAAAAAGCTACTTCTGACTTACCTATATCATAGCCTGGTATGGTGCAGAACATGCCAAAGGTATGGATCAACCAACAATTGTTTCTTTGTAATTTGCTAAGGTAGGCACATGATCCAATCTGTGGTCAAAGAAGGGAAGGGAAACACTTCAGCCCTTTTCAGTCATTATCTTTTAGTCACTCTTACCTAACATAGCAAGAAATCACCACTGAGTAGCATTCCACCTTTAACCTGTATGGGTTAAAATGGCTACAAGACCTTCTTTACATGAAGGACTATGTTGTGTTTTAAGGTGTATTCTTCAAAAACTATAAGCTGGAAGGAAAGCAAATGTAGCTCAAGAGCAGAGCACCTGTAATAGATGCAACTTGTTCAGTCTTTGGTATACCCAGTTCTAAACAGCTCAGGTATCTAGCTGGGAAAGGCTTCAGAGATCTGCTGCCAGGCAAAGTCAAGTAGGTGGAGCACAAATGGTCAGACAGCCTAGTGTATATTGGGGTCCCCCAATCTTGTTGAATCTGTGGACACTTTTGGAATTTTGAGAAAACTGAGTGGGTGCCACCAGAAAAGAGATTGGATTTATACTCTGCCCTTCACTACCCAAAGGAGTCTCAGAGCAGCTTACAATCTCCTTTCCCTTCCCCTCCCCACAACAGACACCCTTCGAGGTAGGTGGGGCTGAGAGAGCTCTGACAGAAACTTCTCTTTTTTCAAGAACAGCTCTTATCAGAACTACAGCTTGCCCAAGGTCATCCAGCCAGGTGCGAGTGGAGGAGTGGGGAATTAAACCCGGCTCTCCCAGATTAGAGTCCGTGCACTTAAACCACTACACCAAACTGAATTCTGGCCACACCCCCAAAACCACCCACAACCATGCCACAGGAGGTGGTGGCGGCTTCAAGCATGGACAGCTTCAAGGGGAATTAGATAAACATATGGAGCAGAGGTCCATCAGTGGCTATTAGCCACAAGGTGTAGATAGGAACTCTGGGGAACTGCCCGTGAGAGAACAGCTCTGAGAGCACTTGTGACTGACCCAAAGTCATACCAGCAGCTGCATGTGGAGGAGTGGGGGATCAAACTGGTTCTCCCAGATTAGAGTTCGTGCTCCTAACCACTAGACCAAACTGGCTGTCATGGTGGTCAATCACAAGATATTGGGGAATCTGCAAACTCCCCATGTTTCTCAACTATTTCTTTCACTCTGCCAGAAGCTACGGGCAGCCTGCTGCAGGAAACAGATGCCATTTAGGGGAAAGATCTTCGATCACCTGCCCAGGTTTATTGCACCCACAGCTTATTCCAAAGCTTACAGTTATGGTCAGGTGACATCTTTGTGCAACCATGGGAAGCCTGACAAATGGGTGAGTCCAATACATACAGCAAAGAGGTTCTTTGTTGCTATAACCAAAGCCGTATAGGCGATCAGATAATCCCACAGTCGGAGTATATGTTTGACTGGCTTCAGCAGAAGGTTTCTTCCAAAGAGCATGAAGTAGAAACACGACGCAAGGTAGCCCACGCAGAAGATGTTGACCCGTGTGGTCCCCGTCATAAAAATCAGGCACAGGACAAACCAGAAGAGGTATTTGAACACAACCACTTTCAGTAAATCCAAGTAGGACCTGTGTGGAGAGGAACAATGGGGAGAACCACTGGAAGAGCAAAAAACATACTTGTGTTTCACAACTGGTGAATTTGCTCAGATCTGTGAGTCCTGAAACAGAATGATTAAAGATACGTCCCAGTTGTTACATAAGAACATAAGAGAAGCCAATGTTGGATAAGGCCAATGGCCCATCCAATCCAACACTCTGTCACAGGTGCCATCAGGAGGTCCAGCAGTTTATTAGGGATAGTTCCTGTTTATTAGGGATAGTTTCTGTTTCCCAGAGCCTACCCCTGGTGTAGCAGTTGGAGTGTTGGGCCAAAACTTGGGAGACCCAAGCTCAAATCTTTATTCAGTCATGTAGCTCAATGGGTGACCCTGGGGCCAGAGAACAGGGGTCTCCAGTGTTGTGCCCATGGCCACCATGGTGCCCACAAACACCTTTTCTGGTGCCCGCCAAATGTTTTTGGACAGCGGGTGGGATCAGTTGTATGTGGAGGAGTCGGGGATCAAACCCGGTTCTCCCAGATTAGAGTCCGCCCTCCTAACCACTACACTTCACCAATCTGAAGGCACATCATGAAAAGAAGAGAGTGAAATGAAGGAGGAGAAAAGGATGGAAAAGAGTTAGAGAAATGTAGGAACAGCTAACAAAATTGTATGTTGCTACCACACACTAACAGGGCTGCCCCTTTGCAAGATCTGGCTGTGCAGGAGCTGGGTGGAGCTAAAGATAAAAGCAAACCATAGACTGGTAGAGATAATGACTTTGTTAGGAGGCTGCATCCTGGCAAAGACTGCAGCTTGTCCTGGAAGGTCTTGCCTTGCTCCAATGCTGGCCTATTGTAGAGTTATTGAAGGAAGAAATCTATTGTAGAGTTATTGAAGGGTTTAGCAGGATCTGATCAGTAACTAGCTTCCCTCAGCCTCCTGGTGCTTTCCCAAGTGGCTGCAGTCAGAACTGCATTAGAAATTTTGTCCACGTGTTCTGTAAATGCAGCATTGCAGCTGGATGCTGGCTTCAGGGGCCCTCCAGCTGACTTGGGTCCCCAAATTTTGTCCCCTCAGCAGCCCTGCTCCAGCATTGTGCAAGAGATGTAGGTGTGTTCGGGCCTGAGGATATACATGTTGTCAAAATTGCAATAGAATATCCCCGTTTCATCTGGGAGATCATTGAATCATAGAATGTTAGAGTTGGAAGGGACCTTGCAGGTCATATAGTCCAACCCCGCTGCACTCTGCAGGAGCATAACCGAAAGACAGCCCTACAGCATACCCAAAAGATGGTCATCCAGCCTCCGCTTAAAAACATCCAGCGAAGGAGCATCCACCACCTCCCGAGGCAGACTGTTCCACTGCTCAACCACTCTGACAGTTAGGAAGTTTCTCCTGATATTTAGCCGGTAACGACTCCCTTGTAATTTCCACCCATTAGTTCTAGTCTAGCAATCCGGAGCAAGAGATAATAGATCTGCTCCATCTTCTACGTGACAGCCCTTCAAATACTTGAAGACTGCAATCATGTCCCCTCTAAGCCTTCTCTTTCCCAGGCTAAACATACCCAACTCTTTCAGCCTTTCCTCGTAAGACTTGGATTCCAACCCTCTCACCCTCCTGGTTGCCCTCTTCTGGACATGCTCGAGCTTGTCAGCATCCTTCCTAAAACGTGCTGCCCAAAACTGCACACAGTACTCCAGGTGAGGCCTGACCATAGCAGAACAGAGCAAAACTACCACCTCCCGTGATCTGGACACAATGCTTCTGTTAATGCCTCCTAGGACTGGAGGGTATGACTTGTCCATGGTACTGAGCAAGTACTATGGTGCTCCTGAATCAAAAGGACCACCCTCCAGCCCACAAACCCACTCTGATTTACGGAGCAAATCCCCTCCCCAGCTTCTTACCTGCAGCGTACAAAGTTTGGTACCGGGCTGTACTCACTGAGCCCCACCGGGTCTAGGACTCTGCTGATCTCTAAATTATCCCCAGCTAGGATCCTCACAATGAGCTTGTTCTCATCCTCAAACACCCGACATTGGAAGGAGGCAAAGAGAAGAAGCAGGAAGTCATCTGTCATGAGAGAGGAGACAGGAAAAGATCATTCACTTAAAACCATTTGCCACATGATCATTCCAGTTCAGGCGACTGCGACAAGACAGGGATTGCTTCCCCCAGTATGAACTTGTGCACCAGCTCAGCAGCCCCTGACTGTCTTCACTCTCAAGTCTATTAGATCTGCCAGAGCCCAATCTCAGTTTTTTCTCTCTGCTGTGGCTCCAGCCCAATGGAACACCCTTCTCAAAGAGGTCAGGAGGACACCCACCTTGGCCCACTGCTGGAGTTTGCTTATCTATGACAGTTTTGCATGTCTGATCAAAGCCTTTTGAAGGTGCCATCCTACCAATAGGTAAAACCTACAGCTGCCCATACAAATTTATTGTCTGTTGTGGCTCCCTTCTTGTGTAATGGCCTGCCTGAGGAGGCCAGGAAGGACCCTGCAGCCGGCATTCTGAAAACTGTGAAACAGAATTGCTCAAGAGGACATTTCTACAAAGGGCTGTAGTACAGTGGAATGGTTCAGGAGGACACTTTGATAATGGGAATAGGATTGTGGCCTGTTACACTGTTTATTGTGTGTATTATCTTGCACTTATTGTTTTTTACTTTTCTGGTTCCCTTTTTTTTTGCATTGTTTAATGAGACGTCTGATACTTTTTTGCATTTGTAATCCTAGTCCCGTTGCATAGTTTATTAGATGTCTCATGCTATTTGGTTGCACTGTCTTAACTACATTTACTACCACCTTACTTTCATTGTTTTTGTTGTTGCCGCCGTCACAGCTGACTTGTGATGACACTTTTCAAGGCAAGAGACATTCAGAGGTGGTTTGCCATTGCCTGCCTCTATGTCATGACCCTGGTATTCCTTGGAGGTCTCCCATCCAAATACTTCCCAGGGCCAACCCTGCTTAGCTTCTGAGATCTGACAAGATCGAGCTAGCCTGGGCTTTGCTTTATTTTTAAAAATGCTCCCTGAGCAATCCAATTTTACACCATGTACAGAATAATAGGAGCATGGGGAATACTTTTGACTTAGGGATTTCTCCTCCTAAAAGTAAGAAGCAGCTACTTATGTTAAGCAGATGTTACATAGTAAAGCCTATACGTACTCAGAAGTAAAGTAGCGTCAGGTTTCTTGGCAAAGTCAGGCAGGTACAGCCATTTAATCAGATTGGAACGCAGCAGCCAACGAGAAGTTCTCCACGGATAATCTGCCAGCAAAGAGATGATTTGCATTACGTGAAGGAAGCACTTTCCAAGCTCACAGTGATATCCTAAGCAGAATCGCACCCTTCTAAGACTATTGACTTCAATAGATTTAGGAAGAGGTAACTCTGTTTAGGACTGCTCTGTCACTGGGCATTTCCACATAGGGCTTTTCCATCAGTTCTGGCCTCATAGTGCTTCAGTTTATTCCTTGATTTCCACATGTTTTTTTTTTTTAACTGCCCCCGAAGAGGCAGGATTTTATTAAATTTTTCTCAAAAAATACACACATAAAACACAAATGTACAAACAAACATAGAAATACATAATAACACACATACTAACACCTGGGGGTTATTGTTTTAACACATGTTTATACTATTGCCTAGTCTGCCTTAATAACAATTACACCTTAACTGTGCGAGCAACTTTTCTATTGTCCTAAAACTGGTGTACATTTCCCTAATATTCAATTAGTCTGTCCCTTACAAAATCGCCTGAATATGCTTATTATACCAATTATAAAATCGTGTCCAAGTATTCTGGAATGT